TCTCAGTAAATCAATTAGCTGAGTTATAAATGAATAACTTGCTTCCATCAATTTGACAGCAACAGCCCATCTGATTTAATGAAACCTAAGTGAAGATAGTCATAGGCTCATCTTCAGGGGATTAAAACATATGATGGCATAGATAAGATAAATAAAGCCGATAATGTGTTGTTTTTCCCATTAGGGCAATGATAACTTACATTCAGAAATGGAATAATTTCTTCCCTGTTGCACCCAAGCCTAATGCCATAGAAACCAGATCCTAGTCTTAGAGCTGCCTGTGGTGCTCTAAGTGCTCTTAGTGCTGAGGCCTGCTTGCCTCAGCAGTTAAAGAAAGCCCCACTTCAACATGCCAGCTGAATTTTGACCTCTTTTGTTGGCACCCAGAACTTGAGAGAATGTCTTTAGATAAAGAAATCAACTTCAAGATGTTACTGCAGTTCATCGCTGGAGCTGTACGTGTACCATGACGCAGGGTATTTTTCTCAGCTCAGCAGAAAAGCTCAGAAACGCAAGTGGCTTTTCCTGTTACATTAGAAAAAAACCCTGCTACCCAATCGTTGTTATATACGTTTCCTTTTGGATCGTGCATCCACGCAGACTGGTTCTAGCAGACCTGACTGTTTTCTGTCCCCGGAAAAAGCCTTTTGCCAGTGGTAGGCTGCTGTTGCAGCTCCTACCAGTCTGCAGAATCTGTGCAGGCTGGTCACTAGCAAGTCCTCTCTTGGACTGATCGCCAATGCACTCCTCTAAAAACTGTTTGCAAATCCAAGCCGCTCTACCGTTACCAACTATACGTGCCCACATAAGCAGCATTTGAAGACACGCCTGAGCAAAGGTACATTAAAGCTCCAACTCTGCAAACTCCTGGGAGACAGAAGAATTTGCCCAAACTCATTTCACGCATCCGGTTTTGCTGAAAACCCGGGAACATGCCAGTCCCTTGGGACAGCACGCGGGGCTGAGGGGCGCTGAGGCTACTTCCTAGCATCAACACTCATTTCCAAACCTCTCCACCGTCATCCAGAAGATGCAGCTACATGTCACTGCGACGTTGCTGAGTGACCCTTTCTGCAGCGATGGCCATATGACACGTTAATGTTAACTTCCCTAATTCTTTTGCGCATTTCCCTCTGAAATTAAGGAATCTCCTATATATGTCAGGACATGCAATATTCTTTGGTAATGTAACATTCGCTTCTCAAACGCTAACGACGTCTCCGCTGCCTGTAGGAACCCGAGGAGGTTCTTCATGCCAGGGTACAGCAAAGGTTGGGCTATCACCGAGAAGTGAGCAAGAAGTAAGGACAAGTGTGCAAAGAGCTGACTGTTCAGCTGGGAGGCTGAAGGAGGAAAAAAAAAAAGGAATAAAAAAAATACTAAGTCTCTTTTTGACTTGAGACTGAACTTTTTTTTCCATTTTCTTTCCTCACTGTGGGAAAAATAAAGGGATTCTGGGATAAAAGGAACCCTCCTCTTCAAACCAAATTGGACTGCTCGCTGTTTTGGGTGATTTTTACCCTTTTACAAATTGGTCAAGTTTGAAGAGGGGGCAAAAACGTTTCCTGCCAAAAAAGCTAAGACATAAAACAGCTTTCCAGCTTGCTCAAAAAACGCTCCCTTACTTCATTAGAGGATTCTAGCAAGATTCAGGCCAGACTTACAAATCAGCATTGGTATACCCGCAATCGCATCGTGCAACAATTTGCTAACGTTTTCCTAGTTGTACCACTATCTTTTGTCTTCTTACGACTGAAAAGACTGTGAAACAACAGCTGCTGGACAGGGCATATGTTTCATATACATCGGGGAAGGGAAATTGGGAGTTTTGCCTGGAAAGGCTAACGGCAACCCTCCCCGGCAGCACCACTCTCACCATGTTCCCCTCCCTTCCTCAGAGGGAACCGGCTGCAGAAGAGGGCAGCAGGATACAAACTGAGAGCAATTGCACAGAAGGAGTTATTTTGGGAAGAAAAGTCAGAGGGAATAAGAAAGAGATGCCAGGGAAGAGAGCGTATGTGCTAAAATATCAGTGGTCATAAAGGCAAATGCATTTTCCCGCAGCCTCAGGCTGACTGTATTACACACACACACACGCACATATACACACATATATAAATATATATATAAGATGGTACAGAAGATTGAAGTAGGATTTTGAAAACTAATGGCATGGACCGGTTAGCTTTAAAGGCCACGGAGATGATGCCATTTTCTGAAGGGGCAAACAGCTGACAGACTTCGTTGGGAACCACCAGCTGCCAACAGCTGGGTTGCAAGGCTTAAATAGGGACTTTGCACCAACTTCTGAGCCTGCAAGGCCTCCACAACCATTTTCTTCCTCTAGCAGGGGTTTCCCTAGATGCGTGTGTGCTCATATGAGATAGTCAGAGTCTACTGTTCTCATTGGTGGGGCTTTCTATCTCCATTTTTGGAGAAGACCCAATTCCATTCGACTGCCTTGCGGCAGACACTGCGACACAGTGGTGCACTCCACAACACCCCTCTCTCTGTCTTGAGCCCTGAAACTTGCCTGCGCCTTCTGACTGTATCAGCTGGTCTGTTTGGGAGGACAACATGAACAAAAAGGAAAGGCACCTCCTCTTTCAGGGTCTGAGCTTTTTCTCCTGGGAAGCATCCACAACTGAAAGCTGCAGTGAGGAAAGGACTTCTTCAGGCAACCCACACGCTGTGCAAAAGCTGGTACTGATGAAAGCAAGGGGTAAAACAAACAGTCTAAGGCTGAATGTATGACCTCATGATCAGGACGATGTAATGTATCCAAAGATGACCTTTTTGCTTCCTTTTACTGCCTGACTCTAGATACAACCCATGCAGCAGTGCATAATTCAATAGCGCTGGCAAGTTTATTCTCCTGCTACGTTACGAGGGCATGGTAGGCACCAACAATAAAGTTAAAGTAAATGTCAGGAGGCCAATGAATTGCTGAAGCGGACGTTTGTTCTGATCTTCCATCAAGCACAATAATTCTAATGGAAGCTAACAGAGGGTTGTAAAACCTAATACCATGATGCAAGCAGGCAAACACCCAGTGTACAATCGGAGCTCAGTGGGAGAACGAAAAGACGCAAGTACTAATCCTTACCTCACCGCAGAGGCAAGCATGCCGTTCCCCTAACACGTTCTCCAGGTTCACTGCAATCCCTACGGGGGACCCATCACCCATCTTCTTGAGCAGCTCGGACCCAGCAGGGGGTTTTTGAGGGACAGAAGCAGATGAGGAACGAAGATACAGTGAGCAGGTATGAGCCTCAGCTGCCAAAGAAACGTTTCTGCCAATTTTGTGAGCTGCGCTGCAGCGGCACAGGCTGTGGGAGGCCAAGGGGGCACAGAGAACTGGGGATGAAGGAGAGCTGAGATGCTGGGTACAAACATCTCCCTGCCCTTGCATCAAGGTTTGCCTACCTGTTCCTCTAGCTACCACCGCAGCAGCAAGAAGAGGAGCTGGCTTTGCTCTGGAGAAAGGAGGCTCCTTTTTCCAGCCGCAGAGAGGTGCCAGAGCAAATCACAGGGGGCACTACCATCCCTCAGTCCCGCAGCAGGCTTGGGGCAGGGAAGTGCCCCGGGACACAGGGGGGACATGAGCCCCCAGCACTCATTTATGGAGATAAACCAGTCCCCACCTCTAAGCGCAGTGACAACTTCCAAGCCTCTGGCTCAGGCTGGGAAATCTAGCAGCAACTGGGAATTTCATGAGTAATTTAAAAATTATGTTTGCAATACGGGTCCTACTGAACGCAAACCTCAGCACCAGCCCCCAGGTAACCCTGGCAGGGCTTTGCTCTCCAAAGTCGCTCGGGGAAAGGCTTGCCGATTTGCAGCGTCTCTTCATAGCAGGTGGGCCTCAGAGTCCCAAGATCCCAGCAGATCCCCGTTCGGGCACCGAAAGGTCACAGATCCAGAGCTATTTGGCAGCTTCTCCTAGTCTTTCCACCGACTGGCAATAGGTTCCCAAAGCTGAACATAGCTGAATTCCTCCAGAAAAATCGTATCGCAAAAAAAAAAAAATCCAGTCCCGGTCGTGGCCTGCTGGGCACTTCTGGAAATCTGGCCCTTCAATTTTAGCCTGCTTTGAAAGTGCATAACAAATTAAATGGAGCTCATTTGTTACGCAAATGATAGCTGCGGTTTCAAATAAAGTAAGCCTAACCTTGATGGAGATTTCATCAGCACAGGCTGTTATTTCCCTCCGCTAATGGCTAACGGCCTAGCCATCTTGAGCATGAGCAGCAAGAGGTCTCCCAGCTGCCGGGGTGAATTATGACGAGAGTAAGTAATATTAACCCCTCCAGCATAAGTATGTGGGTCATAAAACAGGAGCTGCACAGCTGCTAGCGGCAGCAAAGGCAGTCGTTATTAATCAGCCAGCCTGATCGGATGGCGGGAGCACTACCCAGCCTCCTGCCAGGGACGAAAGGGGCACCGGCTCGGTAACGGCTCTGCCCGAGCAGCCCCACGTTAGTTGACGTCTTTCCCCCTTTTTTTTGGGGAGGGACGAGTACAAATACAGGTAGGGTTGATGGGGGGGGGGGTAAGGGTTAGCGATTCCCAGGTCACTGAGCCTCGGTGAACACGGGGGACGGGGAGGGGAAAAAGAAAAAGCCTCTTGCGGAGGGGCCGCCCCATCCTGTTGCTCAGCTCTCCAGGAGCGCCATGTTCCTCCTACGCAGCGGCACGGCTAGCCGGTGCCACCGGGGCTCTCTTACTTTGGCTGAGGGGGCGAATAAATCCGCACAGACTGCTACAATAAGGATTCAGCCCGCAGACGCTGTGGCGTAAACACACATCTGGTCTCTGTTTGTAATGAAACCGGCTGAAAGCACCACGGTGCATTAATAACAAAAACGTTCAACATATTGCTACCAAATAAGCTCTGCTTGTCTTGAACTTCTATTGTCACATGTTAATGCACTTTCAACACTGATAAATGATGAAGTGCTACAGAAGATTCATCGAGGGACTGAAGAGTCAAAAGATACGCGTTACTGCAGCAATTGTTTTCTGTTGCATCAGCCCTTTACAACTTGGGAAGAAGTTAAAAACAGAAAGTCAGTAGCACGATCCAAACATGACGCACCGAGTCTGCCTTTCTCTGGCAAAGACTCCTCAACTACAGGGTCTATCTTGTGCTTGCAAGGCAGGAGAAAATCCTTGGGGATGTGTGAAAGGGAAAGTTTCCTCTGGCAGTAAGTTAGCATTTGCCAAACGTCCGCTCACCTCCTCCTCCCTCTTCCTCTTCTTGCCGCAGACAAGTAATGCCATTCATCCTGGTCTAATTCTACTCTCCAGAGCTTTGCCTCTGCCTGTCCTCCGCCCTCTTTGCCCTAATTCCCATAGGATTTGCATGGCCTTGCTTTCTCCTCGCAACTCCTTGCCACTACTCACGGCTCATGCCTAGGAGCTGGCACAGCCACTGCGACTGCTGGTCACTTCTTTTGCTATGAAAACAACCAGGGAAGGGCGGAGAAGTCTGTGCATAGACATGGTGCGGTCAACGCGTGGGAAGAGCTTTACCTTCTGCGTGATGTGGTTGATCCAGGGCGAAGAGCAGTTGCTGAGGTCTGGTCCTTGGGGGTCCCAGATCCCGTCGGGCGCGAGGCACCGGAAAGTTGCGACACCTGCAAAGGGGAAAGCTGCTGCGTTCAGTGCCGTCACCTGCGTTTCCCCATCGGGACCTGGGCTCACAGGCTTCCTTTCACCACGCCTGAGACCTCGCGCAAAGCCTGGCAGCCCAGGAGGACACTTCTGAGTCTTCTCAGTGTCCTAATCTCCCATTACTTTAGCGCTTAGGGGCTTTAAGGCATAACAGACCCAAGAGGGCAGGGACATTATCTCCATGTCACCAGCCCGAGACTACAGAAACCCCCAAGAGGATTTTGCCCAAGGCCAGGCAGGACGGCTGCTACGGAGCAAGAAATTGAAGCAGGATCTCGCAAGCTGGACCAGCACCCAAAGCCATTTCACCCTCTCTGCCCCACTGATGGCGCGCCGGCACCCGACCCTGAGCCTCAACTTACTTGTCCCCTGCTGCTTTATGCAGATTTTACTGCTTTGAATAATATATTGCAGCTTTCAACGAATCCCAGGAATCCCAGAATCACGGAAATTAGAGATGGGGAAGGCTTATCGCCTGCTCCAGACCATCCCCTGTCAACGACGGCTTTCTTTCCCTGCTGTATTTTCACCCGTCAAGTTTCCCACAACTCATGCAACAGGATACTCCGCTTCCCTGTGGGGATGCTCCGGGCTCACAGCCCCTTGTGCTTGGAAAACGCTTCCCTGCTTCCAGCCTGAATTTGCCTCTGCAGCATTTCTGTCCTTTTTCATAGGCTGAGTTCAGACTCTCCTCTCTCTCTGGGAATCATACAACAGGCTTTTTGCACACTTAATTTTATCAAGTAGGGCTGATAGGGAAAAGATAGGGAAAAAATCTTCTTTACCTACTCTCACCGCTCACTTCTTTCCATTCCCCTCATACTTTACATACATTTTACCAGACTGACCTCACTGAATTCAGAAAAGAGTCAGAATTAGGATAGACAAATGTAAATGGCTCCCCCAGGCAGCAGAGTGGAGAATTAATAGAGATTCTCCTCTGCAAGCCAGATCCCTCCAGCCCTTACTTCTCAGGCAATTTCCTATGCCTTCTGCACCAGGACTAGCCTGAAAAATAAATACTTTCTAAAAACTGCATTTGTTAACATAAAGTAAACCACGTGCCCAAATCCATTAATCAGTTCACATGTTTTAGTTTGGACAGAAACTTTCCAAAACTAACCTTTTGGAAACAAGCAATTGTGGGAAAGATTGGAAGAAGCAAAATATAATAAGCAATAAGCCACTGGGAGAGATTCAGCCTTGCTTTTCCCCCAGCTTTCCCTGTTGGTCATGTTGGATGCTGGCTGCGGTTTGGCAAATCACTCACACAGGTTTAGGAGCCCGAACTGGGAAAATCCACGTTCGGAAGTGCCGGCCACAGCCTTTGAAAGGCAAATGGCGTAGCAGGGAGCACTGCCAAAATGTAAGTTCTGCTTATTTTTTTTTCCCCCCAAACAAGCAAAACTTCAGGCATCAACAACATCAGTCTATCGGCCTGCCAACTACAAATACAGGCAGAGCAGGGATGATACACACCTTGCAGAGGGAAGGTGTCTTCTAGCTATTGGGGCTCAACCCCACGAGGTGGTTAGTGGTCTCCTCTCTCATGGCTGGAGCTTGGGACGCCCAAGATCCTGCACCAGGCGCTCAGCATCTTTAGACTTGGGTCCTTGGTGCAGCTGTGCCAAGCTGTACCAAGGCCGCCTTCCATACTTCACCAACGTAATATATAGGTGCCAAAAGGCATCAGCGCGCTCCACCGATGAGAGGTGACAGAGGTGACTGACCTTGTCCCACCACCCCTCAACTCACCGATGGAGCCCATGGGACAAGGCTGCTTGGCCACCTGGCCCTGCCGGGTCCGGGACCACATAACATCACGGGCTTCCACAGGGTCGCAGCTCTCGGCCCCGGCTGGTGGGAGCTGGGAGGAGGCTGGCGGCGGGTGCGTGGTCACCTCGTTGGGGACGTCGGCCACGGGCAATGGTGTGCTGGTGCTCCTGTTCCTCCTGCCTGCAGCCGAGGCGGTGGTGGGCCGGCTGGTAGTGCTGGTGGCCGCCCGCGCCGTGGTGCTGCTGGGGGTGCTCCCCAGGCCCAGTGCTCCTGATGGCGATGCTCCTGAAATGGGGTGAGAGCTGGTTAGAGAGAAGAAGGGAGCAAAAAAGGCCACATTGGGCTCTGCTTTTAAGCTGTGTACAGAGCGATGGTTTCCCAGCAAAAATAGCAAGGGCCAAATCACGCTGGCTTCAGACGAATGAATATGCAAGGAGAGCCCTCCTCATCTGCTATCACTCACTGGGCCCCAATGCTGCTGTGGTGCACAGGCACCTCTATATAGCACATCTTAACTTTCCATGCCCTGAGATGTCCCTAACACCCACTGCCACCTCTTCCAGCACACCCAAATCCTCCCTTAATATCAGAGTGGCTCTATGTCCAGCCACATGGATACGAGTTTGTTCAATAAAGATAGCCATGTACGAACTCCAGGCTAGCCTGGAACTGAAATTAAAAGCAAGGATTGTCCTGCTGCCCAGAGGAAAAACCTCAAAACCATCGAGCAGGCTCTGCCTGTAAGCTCCAGAGAGCAGAGACTTTCATCTCTTTTAGGTCTAGTGAAGCAGACCACGCTTGCTCTTAGCGCAATATTAGCTATTAATGTATAATGATATTGCTGTCACTGGAGTTCAGGTAAATGTTCACCCAAGTCAAACCTAATGAAATTACATAGATGCCCGCCTTCACTGTAGAATAGCAGTTCTTCTATCCTGATTTTTTTTTTTAAATTAAAAAAAAAATACCCCTGTGCCAAGCCCATGGCACTGTGAGCAATTCTCCCACCCGAGAGTAATCAATAACATGGCAGTTGAGGCACACGCGCTCTCTGGTTTCAGCTAATTTCATTACAAGCCTGAGAAACCCTCAAACTTCCAAACTAAGGCAGAATCATCATTAACATCCTTTTCCAAGGGATCAATGTTTTTGTGCAAGAAAACGTTTCATTTAAAAATCCCAGCTCTGTGATCCCTCAGAAAACTAGATTATATTCTCTCTCCAGCTATTGTGCAATAAGCAGTACACCTCCTGACCAAGTTCACATGCGGAACCCAAAATCAGGTCTCCTGAGTCCCGGGCCAGCAGGCAGATGATGAACCAGGGGACAGTGTTGCTTTTTTGGATGCGCGGTATCTTTTTTTTTTTTTTTTTTTGGAGAAATAAACATAAAATGCCTTTGCAGCAATTGCTTGCTCTTCCCATTTCTCTTGTTAGTTTAATTGCTTTGCAGCTCTGTCCGCACATCTTACCCAATGGGTTCTCCAGTTTTTTAATTTCTAGATAGGCATTTCACTCCCATCCAACAGGAGGGCTTGCTGGTCAGTAACGTTCATAGGGGCTTCACCCTGCTTGGGTTAAGGCCCTCTCCTGCCAGCTCCCACCACGGCGGGTCAGCACAGGAGCTGCGGTGTACGCAGATGTGCACACAAATACAGGGGGAGCGCTCAAAGTTCTGAGAAATGCAAACATTTCAGCAATCTCCTGAAACACTGCTCGCTGATCAGATTTTCCAGCCTCTCGTGCCACCTCGCTTTCACTACGAGCCCCAGGTTTGAATGAATTCCAAAAAATACACAACAAAATCCTGCAGACATTGACAGATTTCTTCTAGTTTCTGTTCAAAGGCGTGCTAAGTCACCAAGCAGGACATGATTCCCAATTGACTTTACCGGGAGGATTAAAATTTGCAGAGAACTTCAGCAAGTTTTCCCTGTTTTCACTATAGCAGCTCTTGCCATGAGTGCATATTTCATTTCTTCCCAGTAATGATGATTAGTTCGATAACTACAACCTGCAGAAGTTTTCCCATTTCCGTATGTAATAACGAGTTACTTCCCATTTGCAAAATGACCTGTGCACTACAGATGCAGAGGTACCAAGTAGATATAGTGGATACAATTTCAAAGGAAAAACTGGTAAATCACTCCTAAAATCATTTGTACCGTAATTTGTGACCACATATGGATAAGGCAGAGATTTCAAGCAGCCAGCAGAGAAAACCAGCTAGCTCAAACTTAAAAAGAAAGACAACGTTTCCCATAGTAGGGCCTGAAAACGGGTCGCATTGGACCCCGTTTCGCCGACAGAAGAGATGGGCTGATTTGCAAAACTGCTGAGCACCCACGGAGCTCCCACTGACCTGCAAGCCCGGGGGGTGCATTTTTGAGCCTAGCTTTTCACTGACAATCAGCAAATATCTTGAGGCACGGTGTTTTTGGAATGCCGCTGGCAAGTTCAGTTATCAGCTGCGCGCAAGGGATTTATGGGCACTTTCCTTTAACCATACAGTAGGAGTTATTTGATCTTTCAAAACCCCTTTGGCATCGGTGCCAAAATCTCTACGAAGCTTTTGTCTTCTAACTTTTTCCTTTTTAAACTAGGCTTTCTTTCTATTTTTAAAAATAATCAGCTCCACTGTTTACACAAAACAACATATAGTAAAGTCTAAAAAGAGCTGGCTTGAAGTTGCCTAAGAGTGAGATGGATGGGATACCACCGAATTAAGTTCAAAGGTCTGAGTATTCAACGAGTCAATTTGGTAATGAGCTCCAGTGGACATGATCACTGTGCTAACAGTGCTGGGCTTCACAGGCCGCAGGCAGCACCCATTGCAGATTTTGCTCACAGAACTACGTGCTTTAAAACCAAGTTAATTGGCTGGAAGAAAAAGAAGAAGGGATCAGGATCATTTACATATAAATGATCCTCAGATCCAAGCAAAATCACAGACTGCAATCTGTGCAAAATCGTCCAGGTTCTGCGGTACAGAACAGAGATCAAACCTTCCGATTAACTCAGGCTGCCAATAAACTGTGACTTTTTAACGCGGAGAAAAGCAGCATTGCTTGACGTCATTTTAATGGAAGGTCTCTTAAGGTAGTATCTCACAGCACAATGCTTGCTCATAAAGAAGTAGTAATCTTTAAAGATCACCAATACTACTATAGCTAGAAAGGCATATTTTTGCTTATGTTACTTTTACGGCTTGTTTTTAACCATGTTTTGCCATGTCAACTCCCAGAGGACCCTCTCTGCTCCCAGCATATTGACTGTAGCAAGACAGAGCGATCACCGATCCTTTCCTTCCTTCCTCTATTTCCCAGGCCTTATACAGAGTTCAGCCTCCTGCCGTAGCACGTTTCCTTGAGCGGAAAAGAAGCATCGGAGGAGTTTGCTCAGAGGAAAAAATCCAAAATAAATAAGGATTTTATTCTATTTTTTTCTCCCCACTCCTTCTTTTCCTTCTTCCTGGCCTAAAATGACAAGCGCACAATTGGACTAAGAACAGCACTGACTATCAGCCACCGGGAAAATCTAGCACACGTGTTGTCTTGCCTTCTGCTCCCCTCACTTCTTTCCGGTGCCCTTAGACATGGGAGACCGCTTTTCGGGATGACTTTTGACTAATGTATTTCTATCCCAGTGCCATTCACAGTTATTTACACATGTTGCTGCTACGTTAAGGCAAACATAGCGTTCACCTATTTCTGAAAGGCTGCAAGAAACACAAAATCTGAAGGTCTCTCCTTCCCTCTCTGCTAAATTTTGCCTTTTCCCTGTTTGGCAAACACAGCCTTTGCTTACAGCATTTCTTTTTTTTTCCCCCTCTCTTCTTCTTTTTTTTCTCATTTCTTTTTCTATTGAACGATGGTACAAGTTGTATTTACATAGCAATAAGAACGTTCAGGCAAGTCTTGAGGGTAGAAACACACAAAAAACCCAAACCTAACGCGGTTGGAAGATTATATTTAAAAAAAGAAATCACAGCTGCTCTTCTCTTCCCCGTCACACAAACACATCTCATGGGACTTCACTTTCTACAGGCATTCTTTAACCTGTTTCAGAGCATTTTCTGAAACTCAGTAGAAAAGAATAATTATTTTAAAATGAATACATTCTCATTTGCTTGTTCTCTTTTGTGGCTTTTCTCCAGACATCCTTTACGTTGACAGAATAGGAACACCGAAGCCTAGGAGTGCCTAGGTTGAGCCCTGCATACGCAGTGCCATCCTTAAGAGCGTGTCTCTAACAATCCAGTCGTTGGCCCACTGCTGGACTGTAACGTTATACTAAGTCCACACCTCAAAAGACTCACCCTGCAAAACCACCTTGGGTTGGATATCCACTGGAAAACCAAGGACCGCATGCCTGTGCCACCCAGGAGCTGTGGCACAGAGCATCCCTAAGGTGAGATTAGCTCCTAAATCACGCAATGGTCCTTTCATCCATTTGAAAGACGCTATTTTTTTTTGTTTTTGTTTTTAAACTGAAGATGAGGGCCAAGTAGGCCTCACATTAAACATCTAAATAGCTCTCCACTGTACGGATCTGCACTGTAATTTGTGGAAGCTGCGCCAGAATCTTGTGTGAATGTAAAAGTTCCCAACGTGCTTTTGGAGAGGTTGAGTATTTTTTTTTTTCTTGTTAGATCTTTGTTAGATCTTGTAATCGAGACTGACAAAGGGCTCGCAAAAACCATTCACGGGAAGGAAAATTAAATATGCAATAACCCCACCACGTTCAACACCACGCGTTCTCTTCAACGCAGTCATACGTAGTAGCCCTGGATCCCTCAAAAGTCATATGAAATACAAACGCAACCTTTTAGATGCATAGCTCTTCCCCCCACCCCACCATTACCTGAGATAGAGGAGGAGGAGGTTGCATCTGGCAAAAGAAAGATCCATTTCCCTTGTGAACTGGCGTCAAATGGAAAAATCCTTTTCGGAAGGCTATGAAAGCCCTATGTCTTGTGGTAGGGGACCGTGCATTTGTGCCTAAGGCCACCCTGCCCACATGTTGCCAAGCCTGCACGGACGTCGCAATGGATCCAAGCCAGATGTTAAGCGAGTCCCACGAACTAGGGAGAAACTCAGACTGTGGTCCAAGATATAGTGCAAACTCAGCTGTTTCATTGCACTTCAAGCTGGAATCACTTAACACACTCTTTTTTTCCTCCAAATCTTTGTTTGAGCATTTCAAATTAACCCTAAAGACAGAGAACGAGAGCTCAAGCGCATGAAATCATTGTAACAGGCTGAAGTCCAGCCAATCCGCCCAAA